CCCACGCCACCGGTGCCATCGCTTCGGAGCCACGTGCCACCGCCCTGCTCCTCCCGCCAGCTCTGCTCTGGGCCTGGCCACGAATGCCCGAGCAGAGCAGAAACCGCTCCGCTCTCCATAGGCGCACGCCGAGGGCATCGCCCGCCCCAGCGCGCAGCCCGGCCCCGGGTCCTGACCCAGGCTTCTCCCGGAGCTGCAGGGTCAGCGTGACCAGACCAAAACCGAAGGCCCTCGGTGAGAGCGCCAAGCGAATCCGGGTTTTTGTCCCTCTCGTGCCTCCCGGTCCCGGTGAGCACGGACGCAGGCAGCAGGTAGGTCACTGCCCGCTCCGGTCGCATTCTTTTCATTCTCCAACCTCCAGCTCTGTCACAGAAACTGAGTCACAAACACACCTGGATATTTGTCTCTCTCTCCTTTTTTAATTGGCTGTATTTTAAGTAGCTTTGAAATACATTTTTCTCAAAAATGTTGTTTTTCCTGTGTATTATTCAATCACAATGATATTTGGCTGGTCCTTCCTCTGATGCACGCCCAGTCCTGATGTCGACACAGTGGAAAAGTCCGCTCAGGCTGAGAGAAGGGCAGGACTGCAACAGGGAGAAGGTGTAAAAAATACAAAAGACCAGGCAAGGATGCTTTCAGTTGCAATCCTGCAGCCAACCGCTCAACGTTCCGCGGGCTGGCAACGCGCGTATGGGTGCTGGTCACGTCAGAGTCCGGTGCCCGGAGCTCACAGCATGCCTGCGCTCGGCAGGCAGGAGGGCTCGGACAAGCCCAGCCTACCCGGGGGTGAAACGGGACGGCTCAGCACAGCAGTCTCCGGAGAGCTTACCCTGTAGTTTTCCTCAAATCATGCATAATGTCTCGTTGAGCTGAAACGTCCATGTATTTAACAGCAGTAATAATTTAAAATTATAAAAACCCTTTCAGTGTCGTGTATCGGAAGGGCGAGGTTATAAAGAAAAATAAATGGGACTTCAGAAGGGGAAGGGAAGGTTATTGGGGTCTATTTCAAGAGTTCATTTTTTTTTTTTCAGTGACGACTATTGGCCCTCCCCAGCTGGAGACCCCGGGAGGCAGGCAGTTATCATTATGCTTTCATATTAAAGACTTCAATCTCCAAAGCAGAAGAGATAGTATCCAAGGGGAGGAGGAAGAGGAGCAAAAGAAAGAAAGAAAAGAATCTCAAATTCAAAACCATACAAACAACCTTTCCGTTCAGAATTGCAACCGCTAGCTCAGCACCTCGGGTTTCCCATCTGTGGAGCGCAGCAGCCTTTCACCACAACGGTTAAAAGTCCACGCAGCACATGGGTGTTTTTATTAACAGACAGAGCTCTTTCCCCCCATCACAGAACTTGAGGCTTCTCATCTGTGAAGGACCCAGAGTCTCTGTGTCTTCAGAACTCAAAAAGGGAATCCTGGGGAGGCTGCTTTCCCCTTGCTACCCTCCCCTCGCTCTGCTCTGGAAGCCCCTTTCGTTGCTTACGTTGGCTGGGGAGGGAGGAAGGACAATGGACAGGGCCCCAGGGACAGAGGGTTGGATTAAGATTCATGAGTTGTTCGATGAGTTTTCGTTACTTGGTGAGCTGGAGGAAGAGGAGGAGGATGACGATGAGAAGTTCATGCCCGTGAGTCCTGGGGGGTTTGTGGCAGTGTTTTGTCCACTTAAGCTTTTCCGGCACACAGGACACGTGTCATGCTTTGGAGAGCAGACAAAAACAAAACAAGAAATATGGGAAACGGGATTAGAAACACGATACAGGAGCAGCACTCAAGGAAAAGGCTAGGATGACACTCCTTCCTCTGATCAAAGGCTGCTCGCGCTTAGGCCTCATCACGGAGGTATGAAAATATTTACCGAGGAGAACCGTACCACCAGAAATAACACCCAAGTGTTACAAAAGCCAAGTCACCCGCTCAGAGGGCACCAACCTGTTCCAGCCAAGGGACTATGCAGCTGTTGTGGAATAGGTGATTGCAAGGTAACTGTCGGACATTTTCACCGACTGTATAGTCTTCTTTACACACAGGACACTCTAACCCAGAATCTGTATCGTAAAGGGAAAGCAGAATGCAGCTAAGCAATAAAGGAGAGAACGACACTCAAAGCACCTGCCCGGGGATCCCGTCACCTTTTCCTCTTCCCCCCACCGCTGCTCCATCCCTGTGGAGAGGAAAGCTTGTTGCTTTGCAGTTCCTACCACCATCACTCCGCCTCTCACTGCCCTGAGTTTGCTTCATTGTTCCCTTCCCTTTTTCATCTCTATCCACACTGAACTTTTCAGAACAGTTTGCCTCCCCAGGGCAAATCCACCCAGTCTACGCCGCTTTTTTTTTTTTTTCCTGAGTATAACAGAGCAATACTTCAGCTTTTTCCCCTCTTTGAAATTTTTTAGGCCTTGAAGGTACTAGCAGACAAAATTAAAATCCCAAGCAAACGTTAAACAGAACTTTCACAGAGCTCTTTGTGAACGATTCCCTGGAGGAGCTATACATACCTACGTGTTCCTGTGCGATCTGTACGGTGGGGAGGGCCTGGATCTTTTCTTTGTCTGCTGGCGGTGGTCCAGTGTTTTCAAACTGATTTAGTAACTGAAAAAACAATAGGCCACGGAAGGCAGAAAAGAAGAACGTGAGCTCAGCAGCACACAGCAGCTGTTCATTTATTGAACCAGGCCTTCGCTGTGGACCTTGTCTCCTATTTCTGCACCTTCAGTGCTTTGCCCCCTGCAGCCATCGGCTGCTGGCAGTTTTGCAGCACTGTGCAAGAGGACAGGAGACGCCACTACAATGCCAATTTTACCTGCGTAATAATTGCATCCAAGCCGTTGGCACCCCATGCGTAGTCCATTGGATTTGAATGCAAGACTCCCCTTTAAGAATAAGGACAACAATTAAATTCAACTGGGACTACCAACAAGAACACTGTCAGAAAGAGCAGTACGTCTTCCAACTCACCAAGGACCTAGTCCTAGGTTTGGTATTGTTGCAGGTGCAATAATTCCATTGACCAGCTGCTGGATAATTCTGGAAGACAAGAAAACCAGGATTATGTAAGAATTAGTGTCTGCTAACTCCCAGCCCAGAAACATGACATGGAAGGAGTGGCTAAATACTGTTGCATCATCAGAGGGAAAAGCAAAAATATCCTGTAGCAATTGTGTCTTATGAACTGATTATTCATTGATAAAGAGAAGTTTCAGTATTTTATTCGTAAGGGGATAATTTCTGACAAAGACGGCACGTGGCTCTCCAGGAGGCAGTTAAAGACACATTAGTCTTGCTGTCCAGTGTTCTCTCTCGTTTCCCCTCACGCTGAGTACATTTTGGTAATACCTGGTAACGACCAGGGAATGCTTTCGCATTGCAGGTTTAACGGTCAAAACTCCCAGCCACACCATAGTCCGTGCCACTGTGCTCAGGAGAAACGGTCCCTGTAAACTCAAGGCAAGAGCAAAGCTGGGCACCTACGGAAGGATCGCGCTGGACAGCTGTGCTTGGACCAGTCTTTTAAGAGACTGCTCCTCAAACTGATGAGAAGGGACGGGCTGATTTTCAGCTAACTCTCATCAGTGAAAAACAACGGGGCTTCCTCCACAAGAACCTGCCAGTTGTTCTCACCCTTCTAGCGTGGGAACTCCCTCGTGCCTGCCAGCGGCACGGCGTGTGGCGAGACGGGCTCGAGGCTGCCTGGCACCGTATCGATGCCGAGACTGATGCTCTCGCTCCCTCCGGTTCTCAGAGTCCCTGTTGTCTTCCGACTGCACATTGGACCCAAACGGAAACTCAAAGCTGTCATCAAAGATCCCGAAGGCAAATTGGCCATAGCCCTGTGGCAAGGTGAATAAGTGCTGATCCACGTTCTGGGAGGGAGAGAATTCAGGGAACAGATTGTAACGAGGAGAGAAACAGCTCTTTGCTTTCACGCCTGGCATTTCACCAGCCTTCCAAGAAAGACCGGTCTCTTCAGATCCCCAGCAACACACAAGCCTTGGCTGACACAGGTTGATCAGTGCGCTCTCAGAGGCAGCTTAGTGAGGAACAGAGGCAGACTGAAACTACGTATGAAGGTAAGAAATAACTTCCCCGGTTTCTCTTTAGCTGCTGCATGTAACTGCTGCCTTTCAAGCTGAGGCTACCGCATAGCAACACACCCAGCCAGCTCGCCGAATCCCAGCTTAGCCCCCTCACAACAAGAATAAGCTACAAGTGATGGTCCTATTAAAAACACGCAGTAAAAATACAACACACAGAGATTTCAGGAGCAGCAGCATGTGGACGATATTAATACCTCCTTTCCTCAATTTTGTCATAAGCCGGGGAACATTTTAACAATGTACTAATGGAAAAATACTTCAATTCAGTGGCAAAGCAGGAAGTGTTGGAAGAGACAGAGAGGACTTTCTCACCTCAAAAGGATGCCTGCTCTGATCACTGGTTGACGTAGAGGAGCTGGTCTCATTGTCAGCGTTCCTGTGAAGAACGAAGAGCACTGGTAAGCCTCAGAAGGGTGCTATGAAAAGATTTTCCCAGCAGAGGGGCGCGAGGGACATGAGTTTGACAGGAAAAGCAGACACCGCAGCTGCACGGTAAAAGCACACAGGAAGCGACCGATTCATTTTCGTGCCGAGCTCAAAGGGACCTCAGAGGTCTGCTCACCTTCCCTTCTGCTCTGGGGCAGGGGCAGCTTCATACAGAAACTAGTCTGCCCTCAGCTGCTGCTTTTCTAATTGTTCGTATCAATTTTCATTTTTCCCTCCCTGCAACCTTCACTTTCCCACATCTTCACCCATCTCTCCCCACCCTTTTAGATTCTGATTTCATGAAGCTACAGAGAAGTGACTGAACGACGATGTCAAGCAAGGATTCCCTGCGCAATCCACCTCAAACAAATCAGCTAATCCTCTGGAGCACCAGGAAGAGAAGACTTAAGGTACCAAGGTACAAACCCTGACCACTATGACCCAAATGTGCTTAAGTCTAATCTTGAATCAAAGGAACTTCTCTATTGCAGAGGCATGTGACCAAACGGGACAGATTATTAGGGAAACTCTTAATTGCTGTTAGGCTTCTGCTTTTAGAGAGCTGCAGGAACATCTACTGCTCAGTATCCAGGTCTACACTTTCGACATTCAGGGTAACAAAAAACTAAGGTTCAGCGACTGCGCGACTCTCGCAAGGTCACAGCAAATCACCAATACAGTCAGGATTAGCCAGGATTGATTTTCAGCCTCTAAGGTTGGCGTAGTCAGACCCAGCGTCACCTTGTCGGTACAGAAACCTCAGCCTGTGGAGACGACCTCCCTCAGCAGGCAGCAGCACACCCCTGGCACCCCCCCACGCAGCTCAGCGTGCCCCTGCACCGAACGCCTGCCAGCACGCTGCCCGTCCCGAAGCCAGTCCCAGCCAAGGTCCAGCAAACGCGTCTGAAACATTTTAAGACATTTTTCCTGCTCTTGCCTGTTCTGACGCTGCCAGAGAACAGTCCCACTACTGAGTCAGCAGTAAAGCACGTGAACGCAGATCTCAGCTGCTCCGGTGCAGAGTCCAAAGTCTTAGTCAAAGTGTTTCACCGTTAGTACTCTAAACTAAGTTATTAAATGATACAGCGAAGCATACGCACACTTTCCGTTCCGCAGACTCCTCTCTCACAGGCTTATCTCTGTCCTGATGACTCAAACCAGTTCAGAGCTACCATATGCCACGGGGAAAGCCTCTCTACCGCTTTTTTTTGTTTGTTTGTTTTAAAATCAATCCATTCCTCCCCCGCCCTTTACCAACAACGTATGACACTCAGCATTCCCATGGCTGATTTACCTGTAGATGCAAACTATGCAAATTAAGCACTCTCTACCCATAGTGAGGAAAGATGAGCCAAATATTGGGCAGAAGTAGTAAAGATGGTGTATTTAGTATCCAACACTGCCTTTTAACTAGAAAAAGGAAAAGAGCAAAGCAGACTGAGTTCAGTCCAGCAATAGCATTTGGGGCAGCACGTTACCTTGGCTCTTCGGGAAGTTCTTCAATAAAACCAGATTCACACCGTGGGCAAATATAATCCTATGGGAGAAGAAATACTGAATGAGAAAAGAAAGTGGTGCAGAAAAGCTGCAAAGAGTGCCTTCAGTGGGATGGGGTGGAAGAGAAGAGTCCTGCAGCCACAAACGCATGTCCAACAATTACAGTCGTCCCAAACGCGTGCCACAATTACAGAGCCAAAAAGACCCCAAACCACTGATATTTGCCTTCACCAGGCTAGTGAGGCAAATTGTTAAGCCTGAGCCTGTTTGGAACTTGGCTTTAGAAAAGAGCTGGATAACACTACTTAATCCCTGGTATAGACAAAGCATTAGGTAAGATCTGATGTAGTTCTGGGTGAAGTGAAAGCAAAACCACCAGCTTTCCCAGAAAAGCAGCACTCAAACACTGGCTTTTAAATAGCTGTGCATTTTGGGGGCCTTCCCCTGCCCCCCTCAAGGGGCCAAACCGTCCTAATGAAAGAAACGAGGAGAGAATTGCAGCACAGGCTAATCACAGCGCCACTGTCGCTTAGGAAGGGCTGAATGGAAAGCTGTTACTAATGTAGTCTGGGGTTCACACCGCACAGAGGTCAAGGAGACACAGGAGGGTCATTCTGCAACACACAATACCAGAATTTTACACTCCCACGCTCAACGCTCATTACAGAAAGCTACCGCCACCCTTGTAGCCTTTAACACTGAAGACTGAATATGCTAGAATAAACAGCCCCTGCGCGCAGAAGCAGGATTCTTCAGGAGTTTGTGACAGTCACCTTTCCTCACAATTCCTGGTGCCAGTGGAGAATTTACACTCCACAACCATCCTGTCCTAGCGAGCAGCAGCCTAGAACGCTTGAGATCCTGAAAGGAAATTGCATCATTTTCGGCGCTCGAGAAGAAGTAGCACCACGCAGCACTGTCGAGTCAGAAGAGGAAGCGACAGACCCCATACCTAACCCCAACCACAGCCCGGGCGGAACAGCCACTGCGGGCAAACACAACTGCTCAAAACCCCGCCCTGGCAAACCCAGGCTCCGCATGGAAGAAATTTAAGAGCTTCTAAAAATAATGCTACTTCCCTTTACTACTGCTACATTTGAATTGGCACAGGCCCTTAAGCAAAGTCTGTTTGGATTCCCCAAAAGAGGAGAGGATGCCAGCCATGTGGGTTTGCTCTGATAAGACATCTGGGATCACTCCTCCAGCCACCGCAGAAAAACGTGATAAGGCCCAAGCACGAGGCAGCAATGCCAGTGATCACTCAATGCTGCCCCTGTCTGCCCAGCAAGATAAGGAAGCAGCAAACACCAAGACCTAGAAACAGACTCGGAGCAGTTGCTGCTCCCTCTTCCGTGCAGGACTCTTTAGATTTGCGGTTGTGAAATAACTGGGTCTACGCAATTGACACAACATTTGATTTCAAGAACATTTCTACACCATCCAAATTCTTCTCAAAGTTGGTTACCGGCACATGGGAACTCCTGTGTCGAACACAGAAAATCAGATCAATTGCCTCTGCCTTTGAAATATCCCCTTACCGTTTCACTTTCCACCAGTGTGCCACTGGGGTAAATTATTACGGTAGCCACACTCGAGCGGTGAGCGACTCACTCCTCTCAACTCTCTTATTTAAGGGTGGCTTTTTTTTTTTTCCTTTTCTGTGTGCTTACAGACAACTCTGAACACAGGGATCAGCAAATTCCTCTGCAGCTGGAACAGCACAAATGTCAAAGTTTCTTGTTTCTCAGGCTGTCTGAATCACTCCTTTTGCAGCATATGCTACAGTTCCTCCAGTAGCTCGCTCTGCAAACAGTAAGTGAAACCACATGAACTTGGACCCCCAAAACAAGTTCATTAACTAGCAATGAACCAGACCTGAATCAACAAAAGCAGTCGTCCGCTCCCTACCACAGTTCAGCGCGTTCGCTGCCAGATGTGCTCTGCTGGCACCAGCCCAACACGGGGCGTTTAAACAAAAACAAATGACCGATATTTCTAGGTTACAACCTTCAGCTCCCGAGCCACTTTCTCCAGCCCTGTATGTCTAAATACAGTCTATGTATTTAGCAGGAGCATTATCAAGAGTTTTGTCCTCACACTTAAATACAAGCCGTGAGATTTACCAGCAAGGCCTGCCCTCGCCTAACCAGTAAGACTGACAGAGAGGGCGAAAAGGACAAACAGCGCATTACAAAACCAAACTGACGGCAAAGTCTGATCAACCGTGGCAGAGAGACACCTCTGCTTGCCATCAGGTGACTTTTAAAATTCAATAAACGGTACCAAAAAGCAATGCCTTATTCTGACAAGACACTGTGAAAAGTTTCTGGGCAAATAAGAGACTGGCAGGATCCTCTGAATCACATCTAACATCTCGCAACATTTGGCAGGTGATCAACAGAAAATCTAGCCGTGGCCCACGATGTTTTAGCCAGTTCCTTTCCACCAGCCAACGCTCCTTTCCTACCCACACCAGAAAAATATGACTCCTTACAGGGGTTTTACTCAGCGATTAAAGCACATCTGCTCACGCGCTGCGCCTAGCCTACAAAGCACTTCTGCATTCTGGGAACGGTGCGGACGTATCATCTGTGCACTTGCCTACATCTCAGCTATTATGACCTGTGAAGCTTTTCTCCTGCTCCTCGTTTAAATCCTACTGAAAGAGGCAAAAAAAAGAACCCCCCTCGTTATCCCACGGAGCTTCAATCCGCTCCAGACAAAGCAGCGGGGTAATGGTGCCTGGGCCCGGGGGGGCTGCCAGAGAGACGGGGGTGCGGAAAGCCCGGGGCTGGGCCGGGGAAGGGCTGCTGCAGGTCGGGACCACCGCCCTCAAACCCGCGCTGAGGCGGGGCTGCCCG